CCGTTCCTCCGCTACTTCAGGTCCATGAAGCGGATGTCCATGATGAGGAGGAAATTCTTGGGCAGGGGGCGAGGGGCGGGGGAGAGGACGGTGAAGACCTGGCGCTCCAGGTCGACGCCAGTGACGACGATGAAGGCGACCACGCTGGTCTCAGAGATGTTGTCGTCGGGGCCGTCGGCACGGGCGTCGGCAGTGCTGACGCTCAGGAGGTGGTGCACCATGTCCCGCCCAGGTGTCACTGGCACCAGCTTCAGCTGGTTGTCCTCCTGCGACATTCCCAGGGGCAGGCAGGAGTCCGGGATGGTGGGAGCCCCCACCTTGTAGATTTTGACATCGGAGAACTTGACGTCGAAGGCGTGAGGGTAGAAGCAGCCCCGGAAGCCGTAGAAATACTCCCGGATACGGTCATCTCGGCACTCCCGCCGGAAGTCCTTGGAGCGCTCCACCACCCCGCCAGACTTGGGGAGCAGGACAGTACGCACAAAGTGGGGCAGGTCCCTCTTCAGCTCGTTGTAGAGCCGCTCCTGGTCCAGCACCACCACCACGTCCACCTCGAAGGCAGAGGCAGCGTGCACCAGCGCCTGGTAGCCCGAGCCCTTCACCCAGCCGCAGGTGTTGATGACGCAGCCGCTGACCGAGGCGCGGCGGTTCACTTCACAGCGCTGGTTGAAGACGTCAGCCAGGCGGGATGTGATCTGCAGGGGAGACAGGGTGGAGGTTCAGGACAGAAAGACCTTTTTGGGGCACCTGCACCACCAAACCCCAGCTGGCTCTCTCCAACACTGTCCCCGCCTCCTTCAATACCCCCAAAGCCTTGACTCCCACAGCAGCATCATGCTGGCGCCAACTGGGTGAGAAGCTCAGGGGAGCAAGCGGGCAGTCCCTAAATGGCATCAGAAGGGCAGGAGGCTGGCATGCCAGGCCCTGTCCTCCTCCTCAGGGACACAGCGATGCTCTGTACTGTTCCTAATACCTTTGGTTATTTACTGGTAAGGCGCAGAAGCAATGCCTGGCTCCTAGGCAGGGATGAAATCCTTTCTTCTCACCCTCAACCTGTAACTGCAAAAGGGCGATTTGCCATGCAGGAGGCTGAAGCCGTTCCTAAAGCGTGTTACGAGCACTTAAGGGTGCTTGACTACGGCAAGAGAGTTGCTTTTCTGTCCCAAGGGCTGCCAGGACAAGGGCAGCGCAGGGCTGCAGTGGCCTTCAGCCATGCCGGCGAGACTCTCACCAAACAACAGCGTTGGGAGGACCCTGGGGATTCAAGTCAGCGTTTTGGGCATCTTCAGGTTTTTCTTGGACATCTTTCCATCTGGGTTTCCACAAACAGAGAGCCAGGCTGCAGGTAGCAGGAAGAGGGAGTCCCTGCAGGGTAGGGACACTGTGCGGTGATAGCCACCATGGTCTGGCTAATGCCAGCTCTGCATGAGAGTGGTCAGACTGCAGCTGTGCTCTGCTCCCCTCTGACCTAATGAGCCAAGCTGGCTCAGTGTGACCTGCGGCTTCACTCTCTGTGGCCAGCCACGACTCACAGCCTGTGAAGGGACTGGCGTGGGGGCTCATGGGCAGTGAAAAGCTCAGTCCTGGTCCCTCAGCTCCTCCTCTCCAGGCTGAAGAGCTTCTTCCCTCCTCAGGGGGCTCTTCCAGCCCCTCCACCATCTCTGTTACAGCTCTCCCATCACTGCCTTGGCCCTCCCTGCATCTCTGTTGAGCTGCAGCACCCAGAAGCAGGCACAGTGCTTGGGGCAGGTACGTGCCACAGTCTTATACAGTGGCAAAAGCAATGGGACAATCCCAGGTGGGGAGGGAGCTCTGGAGCCTGGCTCCAAACTGGGCCCGTCCCCAGGGCGAGAGATCCCCCCCAGCCTCCTCGTGCTCACCTTGTTGTAGAGCTTGATGTTGG